ACCAATTACAAAAAAAAAGTGGCAAACGGGTAACAGATAGTTTATTAAAAAATCGGTATAACATTTACCTATTGAAAAACCGCATCAAAAGTTCTACTAAGTTGCGACAACCCATTTTATTCTTACAATTGATCAAAATAAATAAAGTAAAGAAATTAAAGATGATACTCCATATAATTTGACTTGTGAGTCAATAGGAGTAATTAAGATTGGAGTTTATATAGGGAGAAAGAACAAGGGGGATTCATGTTCATAAACAATAAGAAAGCAAAGCAGGAAGCAATCAAATACGGAGTAATAAAAAACAAAAGGGAATGAAATGTGGATGGAGATAGGGCAGATAGATACCAGCCAGAGAGGGGACTCGGGGAGCTTGTGGGCAACGAAAAGCCAGACGAAGCCATAACCTAACAAGTTCTGCAGAACGCCAACGAAGAGGACGAGCCAGATGGGCATAATCTCGCATAGGACCCCGGGGAGGAAGCCGATGGCGTCGCCCAAGTCCTTGGCGACGCCGAGGAGGGCGACCTGCCTCTGATTGTAGCCCATGGCGGCCTTGATCACCGGGGAGATGCTCCCGAACAAGTACCCGATGCCGGAGCAGGACTGGACCCACATTGAGGCCACGAACACCAGCCATCGGTCTCTCAAGATTGCGCTCCATCTCTCCCGCGCCGCCATTGGAGCTCTCTCTCTCTCTCTCTCTAATAATCTCACAGCGAGCTGGAGAATTGAGGAAGAAGAGTACAAGTGGTTGAGAAATTGAAGGTTTGGTGGAGACGGGATATTCTATATCACTAAAACAACTTTCTAGCTATTAGTCATTATTCAAGTAAATATTCGTCATCACAAGAAATTATGAACATTATTAAATGCTATTTAGAGAATAAAACAAATTTAAGTAGTATTTAGAAAATTACTTAAGTTTAGTGCTATTTAGTACAAATATTTCTATATACTCCCTCCGTCCCTCATAGATCTCTTCAATAGCCCTTTTTTATGTTTACAATAGATCTTTTTATTTCATTTTTTAACAATTAAAATACCACAACTACCCCCACTTTATTTATTACACCTCACCCAACTCATTTAATACACTCCACCCATTTTTCATTAAGAGTATTATAATAAATTTTCACCTTTTTTCAACTCTCGTTAAAAATTACCAAAAGTCAAAATGATAACATTTAAGGGGAGAGGGAGTAATATTTTCTTTTGTTGACATTTTGATGAAAATGAAATTGGAATGTGGGCGGCGGAAGAGAGTCTTTCAGTCCCCTGCTCCACCTGGCGGCATAGTGCATGCACCTCATACACCTTTTTTGTTGGGAAAATGCTAAAAAGAAAATGGGTAGAAATAAATATGTGGTGGAGAAGTGGGTGGAGGCAAGGTTGGTAGCAATGGCGGGGTGTGTAGCATGGTCCTTTTTTTTTCTTTAGCAAGGAAAAAAATATTCCCTCCCTCCACCAAATATCTTCCCATAAAAATTTACTCCGTATTTGATTGTAAAAAATACTTCAATTTATTTGATTGTAAAAATAAAATTCAAAAATACAAATTATATAGTAAAAAAATATATGAAAGAATTCTACAAAATTACAGGTGACCAGACTATATTATTTTATGAAAATGAATAGTATATATATGCAAATAAAGTGAGTAAAGTTTGACCCTAGAAAGATCTATGGTGGACAGAGGGAGCAAAATGTAATCTCTCCGTTCCAATTTTAATCGTTTGTTATTGTTTACGAGATTTGACTTAAATTATTTTTAAATTGATTTATTTAAAAATTGGTATGTAATTTAAAAATAGAATCTATATATTTAAGAGACATCATCAAAAGTTTCACAAAAAAGACATACAAAACAATATTATATTATTTTCTCAAATTAGTAGCAAAAATAAGTAAAAAAATATTGTTGAAATTCAACTCTGTGGATAATAAATAATGAACTTAAATTAGGACAGGAAAAGTATATTTTATTCATATTTTTTCACTTTCTCATTATACTTTTCTTTTTCTCATCAGAGCCCATCACACTATCACGCCTAACTTTTTTTAAATTTTTTAAATCATAATTAACTTAGAATAAAAAACATTAGATAAATACTTCGTAATTCATTAACATTAAAAATAAATTACATTGATTCCATGAAAAAAGACAGAACAAAAACTACAATTATCAAAAGACAGTTCGTCATCCGGAAGTAAAGGAGCAAAGTTTCACAAATGCTCAACTAAATCCACACGAAGGTTGTGGTACGTATTGTTACAATTTTTGAACGGATTACAACGGACGGAGAAGATGAACGGCCTCGGAAAATAGAAAAGTTCTGAATTTATAACTTATTCAGAATATTACAAGATAAACAGAATTGAAAATAAATTTATATATCTTCAAACAGCCTTGTTGTATGAGGACATTAAGCACTGGACATCAAGGACATTATGCACTGAGCTGCGAGGACATTATGCACTAGAGCAGAATGCATCGAGGTCTTTATGAACTAAACCTGCAAAACGAAACACCGTGAAGGACAGCGGAGTTGCCGGAGCTGTCCTTAAGGTAGTAGTGACCGCCTACCGTACCGGAAAAACATGGGCACTCTCCTCCCAGGATAAAACCGCTATCGTGTGTGGAGATTGTACGGACCAACCACACACCAACGAACAAGAACAACGTAGGAACGTTGGCGACCAAAAACTTTGAAGAGAATTGTCGGAAATTTGGCCGGAAAATCAAGAGCTCTCTCAAAAAATAAACAAGAAAGATTTTCTTTCTTTTTTTCTTTTGTTTCTCACGTGAAGCACCTTAGACAAAATGAAGAGAGCCTTTTACCTTTATAACTAAGCTATTTAAAAAAGGTGTGACCTACACACCATTAAGGCTTAGTATTAAACATGACATTTGTGGTGTGTTAATGGTGATTAATTAGCCATTAACACGTCCGTTACGCTACGCTCCGTTTAAAATTTGTCCCGAATAATTGAAGATTAATGGTCAGTTAACTCCGTAAAGATGGACTAATTTTAAACAATACGTAAAATTAATAAAAGAAGATTGGTTCAGTAAAATTGCAAAAATTGCAATCCTCACCATATTCTTTTATTAACGGGTTAACTCTGAGAATCAATTTCTCATTCACCCTCTACCATTTTTGGCGTATAAATTGTCAAAACATTTATCTCATTTAAGAGAAAACACGTCCATTAATTAACGGTTAAAACCGTTAGTGGACCTATTGACAAATATATCCTAGTTGGTCTATTTAATGCCTATTAAAAAATGTCAAAAATTCCAACACGTATGTGTGTTATGTTACATGAACATGTTGAGATCTTGTTGTATTCCATCAACTGCTACAACGTTAACATTGTGATCGTTCGAATCGTATTTGCATATCGCACGTCCTTAGTCTACGATAATCGTGTTATGTAGGATTCAGCAAGTGTACATAACGTGACATAAATTTTTTGATGTGAAAGCTCGCACTAGATTTTCCATAATGTGCCTTTTCTGCTTGAGCACATCAAATAATATTTTAAAAATATGTAATTAATTTGTAGTGCGAGATGAAAAACATCGAAGAATGACGATTCTATCTCTGTTTAGAGCTCTTCTTTTACGTGTTTCGAGTGACTCGTCATTTTTTTGTTGTTGCGTAAGAATCTGAATTGTCTAGGCCATGATATTCATGAAGAGAGAAATCAAAGGACGTCCACATTGTGAGGAGAAAAATGATGAAAATTTAGAATAATTGTAGAAGACAAGAGTTGAAAGTGTGTGAAGGTGAGTGGAGAGGATGAATTTAAATACTAAAAAATCAAAAAAAAAAATTAATCCTAATATGTAAATTTTTATTTTTTAATTGTACAACATTTTTTAAATAAAAGAAATAAAAAATAACTTCAGTCAAATATCGTAATCTGAAACAGACAATTTAAATTGAGAGAGAGAGTGTTACATACCTCTCAAAAAATTACAGTAGAATGAACAGACACCATGACGAGGAATTGAGGAAGTAACATATACAAGCATTAATGGTTAATTACTCAATTCAAAAAAGTAAAACTTGTGTGGAGTAATATTGCGTGTAAAGGTTACTCAATTGAAAAACAAACACTTATGTGCATGTGTTCTTATTATATTCATATTTAGAATATACTCCCTCTCTCCCAGTGTATTTGTTCAGTTTGACTTTTACGAATCAAACTGGACAAACTTTGAGCTTCATTTAAATAAAAATCATAATGTATTTTAACATAAAAATGACTTTATTGGATTTATTGTATTGAGAACTTTTAAAATTATATTTCATTATATTAATATGCATTATAAATTGAGAGTAATTGGAGTTCAAAGTTTATCCAGTTTGACTCGAAAAAGTCAAACTAGACAAATACACTGGGACGGAGGTAGTATATCATAACGGCGGAGTTTCCATTACATTGGAACCCCATGTCATGGGATGACCCGAGGGCGTTCTGGTACCCCGTTCGTAAAATTGACAATTCCTACACCAGTTAACCCCTCTAGTAAACTCCTCCCACCCGCCCCGACCCGAACAAACCTCGCACCCCCTTCAATTGCACCCCACAAGTTAATTTTGACTTTCTAATCAAATTTTGAATCCAAAGTAAAAATTAACTTGTGGGGTGCAATTGAAAGGGGTGCGGGGTTTGTTTAGGTCAGGGCGGGTGGGGGGAGTTTATCGTGTTTACCGGGAGTTAAGGGGGATAGGGATCGTTAATTTTACGAACAGGTCATCGGAGTGTCCCCGAATCATCCCATAACATTGTCGGACAATGTCATGGGAACCGTCCCTGATGGGAAATAATATGTGGCTCGGCCCACATTTTCCAATTATTTACAAAGGACAGTCAAACCAGACCTGTTTAATAAAGTGGAGGAATAATAGAATATTCCTCCGTGGATGCTCCAGCTACTCCTATAAAAGGAGGGCTTCCCCTCAATGTGAAAGGAGGCAAAAAATCACACTCTCCCCTGCCATTTACTATTTCTCTTTCTAGATAGCATATTTTTCTTCTTCTTCAAGAGCTTCTAGATCCACCATTAATGGCTTTTAAGCCTAAATCATGTACCGTGTACACACTCCCGATATTAATAAAAATCCCCCGTTGGCAAGGTACCGCCAAAAAAGGCCAGTGGTTTTCTCCCGATTTGGGTTTCCACGTCAAAATCCCTGTGTTTATATTTTGGTGTACTTTTAGACTAGTTTATCGTTTTTGCCGGGCTATAAACGATATACAGGTCGATAATTTACATCATCATTTTGGCGCCACCCGTGGGACTAGAACAAAAAGCTCTGTTTTTGTTCGGCCATCCTACATAACCTATACTATCCTACCAACAAAAGCAAAAAAAAAAAGAGAGGAGAGTTTTGGAGTGTCAAAGAGAGAAACTCCAAGAAAAATTGCCAATTAAAGTTTAGCCTATATGAACATATAGCAGGTGCTCTATTCTTATGTTTTACAAAAACTAAGGGGAGAAAAGAGGAAGATCACGGACAGAGAAGACATAGCATGGCCACAAAGGCCTGCCATTGTTGCTGCCCCTGGAGCTTTTGTAGCCGCCCCTCGCCGCAGCTACTAAATCTACGTTCGATGTGGCTGCCGGAGTCTACCGACAGCGTTGCTCAGACCCCACGCCACCGCAACTTGTTCTCACAACCAGCGTAGGTCAATGAAGCCGCCCAAGTTCGTCACCGCCCACACTAGGTTTGCCAACAGCATCGCAAAAACACCCCATGTCCACCGTCGTCACCACTCTTCAAATCAACCACCATTATTTTGGAGAGCTTGTCGCCACCGATGTTGAAGAGGAAGAGGACCGCCATGCTGCAACAATTTCATTAAAATTTCCAGATTTGTTCGCCGCTGATATCAACTACAACCACTGCCACTAAAGTCAGCCACCAATCACTGATTGTTACGTTGCCACTATTGGAGGTCCCTTCTCAAATCAAAGAAGATTTCGGAGTACGCCATCGTCGACCGCCATCCCTCAAGACCGCCATGGACGACTACAGAGCCTAACACCCACTTGACGGAACGGTCTCTACAACTGAACGGACAGCAGAGGCCCTCCCCGCAGCGGATCTAGCTAGATCCGCAACATTGGAGGACTAGACTTGCCGCAGTCGTTAGAGTTTTTTGTTCCCATCGCTGAAAACCATCTGGTGCCCCTGGAATTCCGCTACCAGCACTGCGCCTCGCCGCTCGTATTTACCATTGATCTACGGCCTCTAAATTCTGTCGTGGTTCCTAAGAGATCTGAAATTGGTGGTTGTCTTTGGGCATGGCGCCACAACCGCCATGTCGGAGGTCCATGGTCACGAATGGTTCCATTGCAACCAGGCATCGACATTGATAGTACAAAAAACCAGCGAGGGATGAAAGGGAGGCTATGCGCGACCCAGATTTCGCGGCCCGACCCGCGCCTCTCCACCACTGGCGCAGCCAATCGTCGGCAACAAGCTTCATCCGGCGACGAACCAGCTGCTCGAACCAGTCTCCAGCAGCCTTCCTCCGTCGCCTCACTATTTCCGGCAAGCTTCAGAGGAGACTTAAGCAACAAGGGGGAGACCCAATCGGCGTGACTACTCAATTCCAACGACAGAAGAAGACCAAGGACGGGCATCATCTTTTTCCGGCGGGTCTCTCAGCCTGATCGATGGACACATACACGAAGAAGACGACAAGAACAGGGCAACAAAAAAGGGGAAGGTGCTGCGAAGGAAAGGTCCGATTTAAAAAAAGAATGGATGGCAAGTGGCAACTACTAGCGAGCAAGGAAAATTGCGCTCTTTTTATTATTTTTGGGGTCCCATTAATTGATCTTGAAGATATGCATTGAACCTTACGGAGGAGGGAGAAAAAAGCTTCCCACATGTTTCACAAGAGTCCCACCAATTGATCATTTTGGGAGATGCAAGTGCATTGAACATCACGGGAAGAGGATGAGATAACTCCCCACCTATTTATTATGGGCCCCACCACTAACAAGTGATGTTACATTGCACCAAGCATGATGGAGCAATAATTTGGGTATTTACACATGCCCTATGGACGAATTCGGAGGGAAGACTGAGACACAAGCCGAGCTTGGTACGCTGGTTACAACACCGGTCTTGCTCAGTATTAAAAAAAAGAGAAAGACTAAGACACAGGCCCGGCCTGACACGCTGGTTACTACACCGGTCTTGCTCAGTATAATAAAAAAATATTAAAATATGTGACAAGGGCCCCGGCCTGGCACGCTGGTAAATATCATTCTTGTGCGCGAGACAGGCCAAGAATGATATACACACCGGTCTTGCACATATTTTCTCGTAAGTCTGACCTCAATCGAATTGGGTACACCGGTGGCTCAGCTGAGCCCTTATCGGGGACGCCCGATTCTTCAGGCCCTTTGAACAATGCACTCTGGAAGTGGTCTCTACATGACATGAAGATATTTGCATCAGTTAGCCGGGCTAACATCGATCTTCGACAAAGTTGCTGCAACATACTTAATTCGTATTAAGTAACATCGATTACTTCAATATAATAATTTCGCTATGTATCGTTACTTAATCCGTACTAACATCGGTCTCGACGAAATAACTACTTGAAGCACCGTCGCTTCATCGTACTAACTCCGGTGTCGTATAACTACTCGAAGCATCGTTGCTTTATCGAACTGACATCGCTCTTGTTACGATAATTATTCACGCGAATTTTAACCACCCTAACACCGAGCTTCTCGGTAAAGATAATAATTTTTTGAGCACGACATAGGCCGCTCAAAAAAAAATGTTGTACATATTATTTTTTGCAGGAAAAATTTCTGATTTAAGAAATTAAATAATTAATGAAGACTCGGAAGACTAGCAATAATATCAACCGGCCAAGAATCCAAAGTACGAAGACTGAAAATATCACTCGGAGGACTTGTTTACTTTTTTAAGTTGATGATTCTCACAACATAAAAAAGTGGAGGACTTCTTGATGGGAAATAATATGTGGCTCGGCCCACATTTCCCAATTATTTACGAAGGACAGTCAAACCAGGCCTGTTTAATAAAGTGGAGGAATAATAGAATATTCATCCGTAGATGCTCCAACTACTCCTATAAAAGGAGGGCTTCCCCTCAATGTGAAAGGAGGCAAAAAATCACACTCTCCCCTGCCGTTTACTATTTCTCTCTCTAGATAGCATATTTTTCTTCTTCTTCAAGAGCTTCTAGCTCCACCATTAATGGCTTTTAAGTCTAAATTATGTACCGTGTACACACTCACGATATTAATAAAAATCCCCCGTTGGCAAGGTACCGCCAAAAATGGCCCGTGGTTTTCTCCCGATATGGGTTTCCACGTCAAAATCCCTGTGTTTATATTTTGGTGTACTTTTAGACTAGTTTATCGTTTTTGCCGGGCTAAAAACGATATACCGGTCCATAATTTACACCATTAGTCCCGATATTACAATCGATCCACAAATTCTTTAATATCCCCATAAATCAATAATCCATCATAATGTAAATTTATATGGCTCTCATTGAGCTAGTTTATGGGCAAAATGGGTCACCCACCGCACATGGGCATCACCACCATCACGCTTTGTTGGGGAAGGGGGAGCCGCCGTGATGGGCATCACCACCATCACGGTCACGCCATGGGAGGGTAGTGTTCCCCGCGTGGTAGCCGTTGAGGTGCTGCCAGGTGGCCATCACGGGACACCCTCACCCTTTGGCCTTACAATCACCTCCACTTACTATCGTTAGAATACCCTGTGAAGAAAATTTCCAATGATATTATTTGCCTCTTAATCCCTCCTATCGAATACGGAGTATTTGATAAGAGAGATTAAGAGACTAAATAGGGTATGCCTCTGCCACATAGCTTAGCAAGTTGTAGAGTCAAATACTCCATACGTCACAGCAGCGTGTTAAGGAGGCCCTCTATTACAACTATACAAACAGAGTGGTTCAAGAATTGCAAAAAACAAACTACAAAAGTAGTTTCAAGATTAATAATCTTCAAACACAGACCAACTTGTACTATACAAACAAAAAAAGGACTACACAGAGGCATTTCAAAAGCACAACAAGCAATTGCAGAAGAAATCAGAAGCGCATTGGCAATGTAATGCTTGCAGGCACGCACCGTTGGACCGAAATGTGCTCAAGAGAGCAACGACGTGTCAGGAGTTTATCATCTTCCAAATGTAGTTACAAGGTTCCAACTCAGACATCTCTTTTGGATCGATGCAAAATCTGTCGAAGAACTTGTCTCCCTGAACAATATCTGTGCTGAGTGAAGGCCAATCTCAAACAAAAACACAAATTGTGATCATTTCTACTTAAGCACAAGGTAAGAAAGGGGAAAAAAACACAAACTACTCATCGAGTTTTCAATAGAAAGGATACATCCTGATGTTTTTGATTGGTCATCCAAGCATGGGATTACATTTGTTACTGAGGCAAACAATGATAACTTCATCCTGCAAAATCAGAGCAAAAAGGGTTACTAACAGGCATACGGGGTGTGACTAGGGAGACGGTTCTGCACGAAATTAGAGGCTGAAGATTTTGAAAAAATCATCTTAGAATTTTCCCACTTGGTCCCATGAACATTAGGCCAATCACACTTCTGGTCCTCTAACATAAGAATTCCTCTTACACGACTTCATTTTTTTGTCACTTTATGTCCTTGCAGCTAAATATCCCAGCAGAACCTACTGGATAACTGATTCGTAAGGGAAAATGACGTTCTAAGTTGTACAACGCCTATTTTCGGTCCAAAGCAGCCTTCTTCTATCATTCTTCTAAAATCCGTTTCGGAAACAAAAGCTATAGGATAATCTTGATAGTATTCAAATGCATAGCTGATAGAAATAATAGATTCTTTAAGCACCTACCTAGGAGTAGGGGTGCTCACAGTTACGTAGGCCAACGGAATCGAACTGGAACCGAAATTTGGTATGTAGCAAACAGAAATTTTGGTTAGATAATAGACATGTTATTTTCCAAAAATATTGCTATTTGATTCGGTATACTTTTAATTTTTTTTGGTAATTCGGTACATATTGAAAGTCAAAGTGTGTGTTAATAGAGATTCATGGAGTTTAACTTGGTAATTAAAAATTATTTAATAAAATAATTACTGTGTGGGTTACCCACTTCTCACTCAAGATTGTAATACATTATGCCTACAAAATTTCTGGTTATCTGTGCAACTCTCTTATTTCTTAACTTTGGTTTTGTTTGATTACCTGCGAGTGACTTGTAATCAAGCTTGATTATTGACAAGAATTAACATATAGGTATAATTTGGGATCACATGTGACATGAGAAATACAAAGAACTGGGACTCAAGGTTGCAGCAACATAAATTGGACGCAGCACTACATGACGGCTCTCTGGATGAGCTCCAGTCAACTTTGAATCCCCACCACTTAAATCTCAATTCGATTCACCTAAGATCAACTGAATTCGCAGCATTCTTCCATCACTGCCTTTTCAACTTTGAAATACAATGGCAAATCACATGGCTTCTTGAATGCCACTTGGGGATTCGAAAAGAGATTGATGCAAAGGTGCTTTGTATAAACACATTTACACAGGATGCTTTTTTTCAGCACCACAATGATGGTGAACCAATTGAAGTGACATGTTTGGCCATCCAAAGCAATCAAGTGCTATGAAAATGATGAGTGGTGTAGATACAAATTTTTCTTATTTTTTTGCAAGTTATGATAGTAAAGAAATATAAAATGATTTTAAAACAAAACAAAGTTGATCACCGATGTGAGAATTATAGTACTTGAAGACTTAAAGTGACAAAGAAACATTTCATGTCAATAAACATTATTTGTCATATTTGTATGATACTTTGAAAAACAAAAGAACTGTGAAGTTACCTTTAAATCAACGGTAACCCACCATCCATGTAATTTGAACTTTTTAGAATGAAAGCATAATTACGATTCTTGTGCATCAAGCAACATGGTTGATTACATGCTGATATATGTAATACTCTATATATTAATATGTTCAGATGAGAGATGGGCTTACTCTTCTTTCGAGTCATTTCGCTCAAGCTGCTTAAGGCATTTCCTCCTGTCCTCAATGGAGTCTCCTTCACGTATTAAACCATTTATTTCACCAGCGATAACTGTGATGACATATGAATAAACAAACCATTGATCAGTAACACAAGCAAAAGATTCTAAGATATCAAAAAGCACCAGCATATGAGCCTCAAGATACTCATCTCAGTTCTTCTCTCAACATGTTTTCTCTTTGAAGCTTGTCTTCAAGCTCTTTCTGCAGCGAGTCTATTGCAGCATCAGTTGAAGCTTCAGAATTTGCTTCCACAGTTTTGTGTTTGCACTCAACTACCTTCTTTTCACAATCTAAAGCATGTCACACACAAAAAAACAGCACTGCATGCCTTTAATATAAGAGAGAACCAGATACTTTTGTAAGTCCACTGCGTCAAAATCAAGTTCACCTTTTAACTAATTAAACAGCCATACAATCTTCAAATTGAGCATGAAGAAAAATTTAATGGCGTGTTTGGGAACTGGAACTTGGATTTCAAATCCGGGGTTGGCTCAAATTCCATATTTGGGAAATATTAAAAAATTGGATTTTGATTTGAGGCAAATTCCTCTCATTCATTACAAAGCTCAATTGCAAATCCAGTGTCTCTCCTTGTCATTTGAAGTTCAAGAATTCAAATTTTGTAATTGAAATGAAAGAATTGAAATGAAATGCTAGTTCCCAAGGACTACCTAAAGGAAAAAAAACCCATCCCAGGGAAACCCTAATATTGGATTCAACTGTTTATTTCAAATAAATGACCCTTCTTCTCTGTAAGGTTTTGGTTTCCATGGGAACTGTGCCTATAATTTCATCCGGCTCTCTATCTCGAGCGAAAATCAAAATCCAGCATAACTGAACAACACAGAAAAATGGTTCCTTTTTTCATAATTACACGCGAAAAGAGATTAGATTTATTAATTACCCTCGATGGACCTCTGAATTTCTTCAAAGTCAGTATCGCACTGCGATTGAAGGGAATGAGAGTCGTCCGAAAGCTGCTCAAGAACACCGACATCTTCGCCGTCCTTCAAGAGCCGAACCAGGTCGTCGCTCCAGGAGATAAGCGTCGTTAACTCAAAAGTATTCACCCCGCCGTCGCCCATTCTCCGGGATGAAATCAAACAACCGGGAAAGCCCGGAACTTGCCCGGAGTTTTGAAGCGATTACTGTCACCTGAAATGGCAAAAAATTATCAGTTGGAACTTCAGATCTCAGGTCTGTGTCGGAATACTCTGGTAAGGCGGGATGATACCATTTGCAAATTTAAATTCAACTACTAGTAGTGGCTGCAAATTTATTAGTACCCCTTAATTTCAAAAGTTTTCAAAATAAAATAAAAAGAAATGCTAAACCCACAAACAAAATAATCATAAAAATCACAAATTGTATTTCAAAAAAAATATCATAAGTTTATTACTTCCTTATTCCTAAAACATCTTTTCCTTTATAATTTATGAGATTCGATTGGGTTATTTTTAATTTAATTTATTTGATTATAAATGTAAAATTTAAACATAAAATGTATATATTTAAAAATTATTGTACATCAAATTTTTTACAAACAAGAGAGATGATATTTTTTTTGAAAAACAAGAGATAACATAATTATATTATTTTATCAATAACTGACAACAATAGATAAAAAAATATTTAAACTTTAACCATATATAAACTAGTATCACACCCGTGCGTTGCACGGGTCATTTTTATGTTATTAAATTCAAATCATTTTTCAATGATAAAAACGAGATGCAATAGAATATAGAGATTATATTAAGGTAAATAACATCCAAGGATTTCGGCCCACCGAGAATGAGCAAGAACGTGATAAACTCTTACCGTTCTTAGTTTCATCATCAATAGTCCTGACCTCTAATCAACATTTTTTTAAGCTGTTATGATCCATTTGTTCATACAAAAAACGATGTTGAAGCACCGAATTAAAACACACGTTGATTAATCTTACTACCTTAACCTGGAAAAGTACTGTATTTATAGTATATAAAATTGTAATAGGTTATATGCTATTATAATAAGAAGGGTTAAAGTTTTTCGAAATTGGGTGTAATAATTATTCTTACCATGCATAATTATTATTTCGAAACTGGGAGTATAAGTGTATAACTTACCTTTTTTTAATTATTTCCAATTTTCAAAAACTTACGCTTTGCAATTGTATAACTTACCCTTATTAAAAACTTACGCTTCAGAAATGTATAACTTACCTTTTTAAATCCGTCAATTACTAAAAAAGATAAACTCACGTTTACCATTTTATACTACTCATGTTAATTATTATAAAAATAATAGCTATATTAACTTCACGCTTACACAAAAAAAGGTTAAAAATGACAGTTACTTATTCAAGCAAAAATTTCGGAGGTTTCCAATCCGTACTCATAATACTTATTTACACCCAAAATAATTAGTACACTCCATACGAATTGAAAGCATTGTGTTTTAAAAGTAATATTCCTTTTTTTAAAATTATATTCCCTTTGGAATAATATTCCGTGGCATCATTATTATTGAGGATTTAGAATTACCTTGATTAGAAAATATTCATTCAGTTAATATTAATTACCAATTAAAGGAACTGTATTTATTATAGGTTTTAAACCATTTTTTAGATTAATAATAATAAAAAAATTTTAGATTTATAATATCACGTTTTTAAAAGTAATATTAATTTTAACTTACCTTTCCGCCATTTTAACTTACTTTTCTTTAGTTATTATAAATATAATAATTATTACTATAATTTCGGCCACTTACCATTTTAACTTCACAATTGCCATTTGTAATTGTCATACACTTTGGGCGGGAAAACTATATGTTGATTCTATGTTTTTTTAAATAAAGTATGGATAAGAACTAGGAAGAAAGTGTTCGGAACGAGTATTTGTGAATTTTGAGTCTCACTAAGAGACTGTTTGGTAGGAGGAGAGTAAAAGGGAGGGAACATAAGTCTATTCCTTTGTTTGATTTAAAAATTACTTTGTTTGATTTAAAAACATGAAAAGGAAGAAACTCAAAATTTTAGCTTTAATTCATTACTTTTTTTCGTAAAATTAATCCGTCCAAATTGGACCGGTACATCTTGTCCTATTCTTCATCTTCGGTGAGTTTTTTCATCACATCCTCATTTAAAAAAAATTAGAAATAAAATAAAACCAAACAAAAATAAAAAAAATAAAATAAATAATGCTATCTAATAATAAGTGAATAAATAAATATAATAAATAGTGAGAAAGTAGATAAACATAAATTAAAAAATAAAAATTATACTAAAAATAATAATAATGATAATAAATAGCAATTAAAAAAGTAAAAAAAAATCATAATTAAATTATTAATAAAAATAATAAAATAAATAAAATAAATAAAATAAATAAAATAAATAAAATAATTATAGAATAACAAATAAAACTTATAATCAAAATTATAAAATAAATAATAAAAATCAAAGTATTAAATAATAAATAAAATAATAATAACTTAATAAAAAGTAAATACATAATAATTTAAGAATGAAAAATAAAATTAAAAAAATAAAATAATGAAAGTAATAATACTAATAATAACTAATACTAAAAACAAATAATTATATTTAAAAAAATAAAACGTACGGTTGGTAATTTAAAAAAAATAGATAAGAAATAAAATTTAAAAATGAAAAATATAAGATATACAATAATTTGAAAATAAGACATTTCCTTCCCTTACCATGCAAGGTGAAGGGAATTTTTCTCGTCATTTCCCATTCTATCCCACTCATTTTTTATGAAAGCAAAACCTCAAACTTGATTAATAAATTGATGCAAAATAACATCATGCGGAATCGAGTCCGAGTACATATTGTGAACTTGAGAGTAAGCCACAAAAGGTAAAGTATGGGAAACCATCCAAGGCATGTGATGTGCTTCGAGCCTGCCAAACATTTTTAACGATTAGTCAACTCATCCTTTTGGTCAAACCAACTAAATCAAATAGCTATTTAGAACATCTAATACAAACAGCCAACAAGCAACCGCTAACTGCCAACATCCCAACAAATCAAAAAAGTGAAAAGAATTAGCAAGTTGGGGCAGACCCCATTCGCGCCAAACCCATCTTGCATAATCGCACAACACCAAAACATGTAGCACATCTCCATTAAGGCATTCATTCTCTTCCATTCATTTCCAACCAAAGAGACTCTGAACGACTAAAAATTACTTGGCAAACATCTTTTGGTCAATTGACATTGGTGTGGTTCTTCCAGAGGGGAGGACAAATATTCGAAACTTAGTATGAGAAGTACTCCCTCCGTCCTATAATGATCTTCCCGGTTCGCAAAACGAAGAAAAATCCCAAGTTTTTTCAATCTATTTTATTTAAATATTGGTATAGAAATAAAAAATAAAACATACATATTTAAAAACTACACCAAAAGTTCAACAAAACAAGTGGTGACAAGAATATTTTATTTTATCATATAGGCCATGAAAAAACACAAATAAATATAAATTCCCGTGAAGGCTGAATAGTGCTCTGGGAAGATCATTATAGGACGGAGGGAGTAAGTATTTGTAATTCAATAGATAGAGAATGTATAAAAAAATACTACAATATAATTATTAAAGGCTATGCCCCAACTCTTAGCTTTATGGACTCAATATTGTCCAATATTGCCTTAAAATATCTACAAAACTAGAAGTAATATGAAACACCGGAGCCCGTTGTGTCAATATAGTCCAATCCTCCCGTCAATTTTATGAACGGGGCACTTGAGCCCCACGGGTCATCCCATGACATTGGCGGGCAATGTCATGTGAATCCTTCCCATAATATACATTTAGGGTCTGTTCTTTAGGACTGTAAAAAAAGAACTGGATGTTGGAAGAAACTGAAAAAAACTGGAAGGAACTGGAAGAACTCGAAGAACTGGAAGGAACTGGAAAAAACTGGAAAAAACTAGAAGAAACTGGAAAACCTAAAAAAAACTTTAAAAAATAATTTATTTTAAATTCTTGTTGTTATAAATTATTATTATTATTATTATTATTATTATTATTATTGTTATTATTATTATTATTATTATTATCATCATCATCATCATCATCATCATCATCATAATCATCATTATCATTATCATCATCATCATCATAATCATCATCATAATCACGTTGTTTTAGTGAATGTCTTTAAGATATAAAAAAAGTATTGTTATTTTTTAAATACAAAAAACTACTTTTACAAAAAACTATTATAATATAAAGTTAGCATAAATATAAAAATATTAAATTTAAAAAGGTTGTGTAGTTATATTGCACCTCAATTTATTTATGCATTATTTATTATTCAGTGCTGGCGGCAACATTCTAACCGATTACCGAAGTTGTCTTAACGCTGAATCTCTTGAAACACTTGTTTGCAGCCAAGATTGGCTCTTGGCAAGACGTCGGGCTCAAGAGTCATTGTACCAACTCGAATCGGAGCATTACATGAATGCAACCACAGATGGAAGTCCGAGTTCTGAAGAATAAGTTATAAATTTTTTTTATGTTAATGTAAATATGAAATTAATTTTTTTAGGTGAGCGATATATAAGCTCCTTCGAGGGTTTCTTTACGGTTCTTTATCTCGTCGCTTTTTTTGAACCGTCAGGATATTAAATGTGGTTGTTCTTCAGTTAGTGTATTACTCATTTTCAATATTTAAATAACAACTACATTTTTAGATTTTTTATTTCATTCTTTCCTTAAACAATTGCAAATTTACAATTTTATACTTTAAAAATTTTAAAAAAAAAGCAAAAAAAGGGGGGGGGGCGAACCGGGCCGGTCCGGTACCGGAACCGCTGGTCCGGGAACCGGAACCGGTACCGGCTGGCACGGTAACATTTCCGGTTACTCGGGGTGGCGGTACCGGAACCGGAACCGTCCCGGAACCGTACCGTGTCCACCCATATTTGTAATTATAATTTATATATTAAAACATTTTGTTTTAAATATCATACATGTCACATAATTAAACCCATTGTTTCTTTCATGATTGACATTTTATTTTCATTGAATTCCTATTTTTGGAATAAAGACATAGAACTTTTTTGTTTACATTTTTTATGTTTTACTCATATTTTAGTCTTTTTTCTCTAAGCTCTTTTGACTTACAATTTTTTTTATAAAAATTAGAAAAATGAGCAATTTTTAAGTAATAAAGGGAAAACTGAGATGTCT